TTTTTTTAATTGATTGATGATTGATTCAATCAACTAATTTGTTGATTGTATTAACTTGATTCTTTAGATATTGAAAATTAAATAAATAACATTATGTTAATTTAAGCGTACAGAAACGTTGCTGTTGTTCCAGCAAAAATCTTATTTTCACTTTACCGAGTGCCTAGTAGGTAATGTGCAGATTACCTAGATAATCTGCTCATTACCTAGGTAATTTGAGAAATAGAACAATTTTAGCAACTTAAACGGATCATCCTAGTTAATGCGCAGATTAGCTAGGTAATGGGCACATTAACGGATTTCGAGCTTTAGCGGTAACATATACAAAAAATAACTGACTAGAGAGACGATAACATAAAATTTAATGTAGATTTTTATGCTTTGGCAATATTTCTTAACTTTTGTAATTAGTTTATTTTACCGTGATGTCATTTTTATGTATTTATTTTTAGAGCATTGTATTTGAATGCCGATATATTCCTGTTTGATGATCCACTAAGTGCTGTTGATGTTCCAGTCGCGAAACATATCTTCGAAAAGTAAGTATTTAAGTATTATCTATGGTATAGTTGAATACATTTCCACTTTTTATTCATTTCAGATGTATAATGGAATATTTGAAAGACAAGATTTGCATTTTAGTTACACACCAAGTGCAATTTTTAAACTCTGCAAGTAAAATTTTAGTGTTAAATAAGGTAATAATACTATGTTGAATTTATAAGTAATAATACTATTTGTTTGCTAGTTTTGTTTTTAATTACTTTCTCAATAAACATGACATATTTTCTATTTTAAAAACACATAAGTTTTACGATATAAGGTTCAAAATAAGAAGAAAATTATGAAGTTAACTGTGTTGTTTAAAAAAACCTATAACGAAACATATAATACATTGACAGTATATACAGTATATGTAGACAATATATACATAAGCTTTTTTTTCAACAAAAATTCTTCTTGGTAAGACTGGACTTTGGAAAATGTTTTTTTATTTCATAATCATATAGATGAAGGAAATATCGAAAGTTCTTCCAGTACGTATGTTGTTGATAAAGAACAAACTACTGTTGTTCAGTTATTTTTGTCTATTAACATACTGTTGAGTTTCAGATCAGTTTGCCATATTTGTACTCTATGCTGTATATGGCAGTAAATGGAAAATAGAAATTGCATCACGAGTTAACCAATGTATAGGTTAATATACCTATAATTCAATATCTGCTACTGGTAAATTTGTTAAAAATACGTTACGTAGGCACACAGTATTAATTATTCGAAGCCAAATATTTATTTCTACACCTTTTCACATTTGTTTATATATTAAAGTCTTAGAAACTATTATATTTATATATATTATAAATTTATTTCAGGAAACTTGTGAAATTATTGACAATTACAATACAATAGAAAATTTAGAAATGCTTACAGGAATTTGGTCTGATAAAGAAATCGCTGAAAAGAGGATGGAATTGAAAACTGAGCTTTTCAACGATGATAAAATAATTGAAAATACTCAAAGTAATATTTCTGATGATATTAAAGATAGTAACAACACTAATGTGGTAAGAATTATTTATGTATTAGACAGTTATCTGAGTAAATATTTTTAAGGAAGATTAAATGAGATTTGGCAGTTTTCATTTCTCAACTTCTGTACACAATTTTCTCTAAATTTCTAATTAAAACAGACAATTATTCGACCATATAAATAAATTATTACAATCAAATTACAAACTGTTTGATTGAATAATACATTAACATATCAATATTCAATTTAAACACTAAAGAACAACTATCATTTCGAGAGTTAACCAATGATATAATACTTATTAATACGCATTTTATGATATAATGCCTGTTTTACTGGTTATTAGCATTTTGAGACTCAAAATTAAACTTTTCGTCATTTTATAATAATTAAAAATATCAAAAATTTTCAATTACAAAATAGCATGACAAATGGCGCGATATCCGCAGTTTTAAATGTTTCCGGGAAAGTTAAGCAACTCGTTGTTGTTTTTTTAGTCATAATAAAACATCCAAACACTGTTTTAACTGTTGCAGAAGATGGTTATGTAAGTGTTGAAACGAAAGATGTCTCTTAACCTGTAAGACGTGCCGTCGTTTTGATCATCAATTTGACATTTCAAAAAATCACACAGTTCATTCACGCAATCTACGAACATTTGACTAAATTCAAATTTTACGATCTAAATGCCACTCTGTTTTTATCGGAGTCATATAGTCAACGTTGCTCCGCTTAATATGCAATATGTCCAATTAATCGTTATTCAAAATCGCGAATTAAATAATATTTTATAAATACTTTTATTCAAATACTCTCAATGGAATTTTCCAGAAATGTGACTTCAATTAAATACTTTCATTCAATTAAAAGTATTGTCTCATCTCTCTAATTGACCTGATTATTTCGAGTAGTATTTTAACACTAGAAGTTTAATTCTGCAAGAATTAAACTTCTAGTGTTAAAATACTTTAAAAAATACTACTAAAAGTGTTAAAATACTCTAGTGTTAAAATTCATACTTTTAAAATTAAAAGTATTCGAAGCAGATTTTATGTAGCAGCTATTTAAAATAATTCAAATTAGCCACGCGTCAAATTAAACTATTAAATACAGTTAATCCTTAGTTTTCAAAGGATTTACTTTTTGAACAAAGTGATTCACGTACAGAATTTTGAACTCATATTAGCACTGTTTGACGTATGATTACTCGATTGCCGAACAAGATACCTCTCAAGAATAAACCATAGATTAAAGAAGGTCAACGCCTATAATTTCTAGGTTAGAGAATGTTGATGGCCCAATTAATTTGAGAAAGCACGTTATCTGGTAAAGCAGATTAAATACCACTGGACCAGTAAGAACGACAGATATTTTCACATTTTCTACCTGCATTAAAACTACCTAATCTGAAAACAGGTAGATAAGATTCCGGAAGTAAATAGGTTGGTTCGGACCTCCTAAGCTTCTCTTAACGATGTATGGTATTCAGATACATTACAATTTATTGAATTTTACAAGTATATATCATGTTACAATATGCAGGCTGTTTGCCATGACCGGCAATTTATTTTTACGTAAGGAGTGATTTGACAAAAGAATTTGAGATTAGCGGTTTCTCTGTAGTTATACTGAAAAATACTTAGACAGTGTTTTTTTTTTTCTTTCATTGTCAGTGATTATATTTTATTGAGACAATTTTTTTATTATTTTCGTTTTCATTTTTCCATACTATTACCATATAACTTAATTTACAAATATTCAAGAGAATACTGAGCAGGTCTTTATTTGTGTACCAATAAAAAATAGCACATCTAATTTTCAGTTTTATGAAGAAATGATACGTTGGATATTTTATTTGTAAAATATTTTAAATAGATTTAGACATAATTCAACGAATATTTTATATAATTCTAAAAATATTTCCTGTAGGAAAATGAAAATAAGAAAATNAGAATACGATGAAGAGAAATACAGAAGAGTTTTGCATATAACTGCTCTAGAAAAGGTAATACGTTGTTTTTATCTTGTTATTAGCCACGATTTCAATCACTTATCTTGATTGAAGACGGAAAGTTGTTCGATACCAACTACTAATTAAACGACAATAACTTTTTACATGTTATATTAATCTGTTAGAATAATAGCTCGGTTTTTCTAAGGGATTTTAGTTTGTTTGAGAATTTTTGGGTTTTTAAACGTGTATTGAAGGTCTTTTGTAATATAGTTTTAAATCAAGATATTTATTTTAAATTTCGCGCTAGATTCGCATTGCTTTTTTAAATTTTATTCAGACCAATTCTGTTCTTATGATTATTTTATTTTTTTCTTTGACAATAAAAATGTATTTTATCTGCTAATTAAGTACAAAATCACACTTCTATATTGTCATATTATGCATGCTAGATTTCCAAAGTAGAAATGGTTCAGTTTATGCTCTGGTTGACCGTAATATCAGTCCAGATCTGAAATCTTAAGAAGTTCAGATTGTAGGCTTGTTTTCAGAGTGTTAAGCATCTGTCCTTTCGTAAGTCTAACTGATCTGATCAAACAGCTCAGTTGGGACTTTTAGATAAAAATCGTGAAAAGTCAATAGAAATTGCTTATATTAACTGTTTATTATGATAATGAACAACCCTATAATTACTACAATTGTTTGGTTTGTAAATTTCAAGTTTAATCTTTATTACACGTGATAAAATAGCTGCTGTAGATCGATCATTTAAAAATTTTACATTGTAAAACAAAACACAAATTTTCACTTGATATGTTTTATGGTGGACACTTGGTTTAAGTAGTAACATGTCCACTGGTCTGAGCATATATTCAATATAGTTTTTATCTTAAATACAGTATAATTATTACATTTAATGATACTTGTAATTAATTTAAATTTTATAACGTTTACTTAAAAATCTGTTGAAGTTGTGTTTAGTGTGAAAAAAGTTCTCAGTGTATATTATATTGAACATAATTATCTTGCATTTCTTACGTTTTAGGATATAAGCTTGTTTCCTAAAGGAGATCTCACTATTGTGGGTGAGAGAGGAGTGATAATGAGCGGTGGACAAAAGGCGAGAATTAATCTAGGAAGGTAAAATAACTCTTACTCCACTTGAATGTTTCTCTTAGTTCAATTATAGTAGTACAACGTGAATGAAATAAGAAACACATATATACCCTAATTATAAATGCATTATAAATATGCTTTCAAATTTAATCAGTTTTTAGTGATAAGAAACATTTCCCAAAAATTTATCCTACTCTGTATTAGTAAACAGTGAGATTTTCTAAATTTTAAAATGTTTCAATTGTACTTTAGTGTGAGTACAATAAAGCAAGAATTGTTAACATAGTTGAATTTAAAATAGAACATTATTATATTTCATTAACAAAATTTTTTCTGTCTTGTCAAATATTATGTTTTACATTTTTACTTTATGACTCAGTGGTAAAAAATTATGTGATAATTGTGTTATAGATATAATTAAAATTTAGTTATGGTTAAAATTGTGTTATGTTATAGATATTTTTTCTCATTACTCCACTATCCGCTCATGAAATATCCTTCTAAACTTTTGTTAAATGATGAAATAAGTATGATTCTGATTATATTTTTATGGAAATCGATAAATTTACACAATTTAACAATTTTTTACACCTGATTGTTATACAGTGTTATATAGGTATAAAATGAAAGCAAATATATATGTTACCGCTAAAGCTCGAAATTCGTTAATGTGCACATTACCTAGCTAATCTGTACATTAACTAGGGTGATCCGTTTAAGTTGCTAAAATTGTTCTATTTCTCAAATTACCTAGGTAATGAGCAGATTATCTAGGTAATCTGCACATTACCTACTAGGCACTTTGTAAAGTGAAAATAAGATTTTTGCTGGAACAACAGCAACGTTTCTGTACGCTTAAATTAACATAATGTTATTTATTTAATTTTCAATATCTAAAGAATCAAGTTAATACAATCAAACAATCAACAAATTAGTTGATTGAATCAATCATCAATCAATTAAAAAAACTTTAATACAAAAATCAAACGGTTTAAAATATTACTACAATTAGGGAAATGAATTTGCAAAACATATGATAAAATTGTACTTACTTATTAGTGCAATCTAAAGATTGGTGACACTTTGAATTACGTAGCAATTGG